CTTACTGAATGGGAATGAAGTGCTTAAACAAGCTGGCTGCTGAAGGCAGCTAGTTTGTAAATAGAGGCAGTCGGAGGTGTCTTATTGATTCCGTTCACTGCCCACAAGTACGTCTAAATGGCAGGCCATGAATAGGTCCCAGAGAAGCCGCAGTCAGTTATTCACAGTGCCCAAGATTTCGTGCAGTGATTGATCCTCTGTCCAGAGCACAGGAGAAAAAACAAACAAGCAAACAAACAAACAAACAAACAAAAACACCTAACAACAGTTACAAAAATATAATTGACCTCAACCTTGTTACAGGCCGCCTTTATCGCTGCAGTTACAGTAAATTTGGAGAATTCTTCAGCCTTCTAATTTTATTTATTTGTTATATAAGAAACTGTCTGGAGAAGCGTTGTGCGAATATTAGTACAAACCTGTTTATCCTTGCCCCTAGCATGGTGAGGTTATTCAGTCCAATTAAACAGCTTATTTAGAAAGTGTTTTACAAGGAACAATACGTTGAGATGTCTTTTGTTTTGAAGTATGTCCTGGGTCACTCAGACAAAACAGTGCAATGTTGTTGTAAGGCATTTACCAAACACAGAATATAAACACCACTAACAGTTATTACAGGGAAAACAACTGCTGGGCAGTGAAGCTATTATGTAAAATTGTATGTATGTGGTGATATTTAACCCCTTAAGGGCACAACTTCTGGAGTCATGACGCAATATTTCCGTCATGTGTCCTTAAGGGGTTAATGCTATCCTGAAAGAATTCAAATTGTGTAAATGAACATATATAGTGACCTGGAAAATTGTTTTTTTTTTGTTCTCTGTGGAGTAAAGATAGGCAAAGTTTTTGCTTATTTTGATTCCAAAACATAAAAATTGGCATGTTTGTCTTCCAGTTGGATGGAGAGCCCGCTAAGTAAACACTTGGAATAATAATAATAATAATAATAACAAAGTATTTAACCAGGAAAGGTACATTCAGATTACTCTGGTTTTCATGTACGTCCTGGGGATGTTACATTAGCCCAACATCCAAGGGTTGTTACTTTTTTGTAAAGTTTGCAGTATAGCTGCAGAAAGTCCAGTAAAGAAGAATAAGAATTTTCTAATCTATCCTCCATGGGAGATGAGAGCAGTGTTTTCAAAATATTCCAGTATTGGCAGTTCTGTGGAAAACAATATGGCTGGCTTTGTCACAGAACTTCAGAACACCATATTGTTAGTATATTAGTAAATGTTTGAAAATAAAGTTTTGAGATTGCCATACCCAAATACATGAAATTATTTATCAATTTTTAGACCACTATGTTATAATAACAAATTAAGGGTGAGCTCTATCAGTATTTCTACTACTCCGTATTTACCACTTTCTCCCAGAATATAACCTGTTTTGTCTTTATATATCCCTCCCCCTTTACTTTATATCACTGGATAGTAATTTTTTTAGTAAATTTTTTTTTTTTTGTTCTTGAAAATTTGGTGATCCAGATATGAACTAACAGTGTTTTAAACTGTCTTAAGTCAAACATTAGGACAGGCATAGGCAACCTTCGGCACTCCAGATGTTTTGGACTACACCTCCCATGATGCTTTACCAGCATTATGGGTGTAAGAGCATTATGGGGGATGTAGTCCACAACATCTAGAGTGCCGAAGGTTGCCTACCCCTGCATTAGGATATGAATACAACTTGTACAGTTAGGAGATTTTGTACCACAGAACTAACAATTTACTGAATACATTAGCTCAGTCAAGCTTACAGCACAGAACCATTAGCATAGCGGAAATCCTTGCATTGATGTTTACGCTCACTCTTCACAAAACTCTAATAGTGGGTAAAATGAAAAAAATAAACAATAATCACAAATCAGATGTTTTCGAGAAAGCTCACTTACTACACCATTTCTACAGGAAAACCACACTTTCTAATCATGTGCTAATACAATTATTTTGACATTTCACAATATTGTGTCAAAGTAGGATATGTAGCAGCCATTTTAATAATGTCATTATGATTCTGACTGTCCATTTAACAACATCCCGTAATGAGGTCCAGAGAGTTATTTTCTGACTCTAAGCAAATTCTCTGTATATATCGTTACTTTCTATAATAATGGCATTTAAAATAGTAAACAGGATGAGGGAAGTTTAAAGTCAACAATATTTTCAATATTTACGTGTTATGAAAAAGTAACCCTGTCAACCATTTATGCCACCTGTCAAGTTGTCTATGGGTTACTTAAAACCTCTAAAATATAAAAGAAAACAGGAAATAATTTAGACTACAACCATGAGGGAGTCCACAGAAAGTCTGCAGACATCCTCCAGGCCGGGATCAAAAGATAAGGTACCATGGCATACACATATAAACCATGTAGTGCAAAATAGTGCAAATATACCCTCTAATCACCAATTGTATGATTTAGGGTTAATTTAGCTTACACGGCCACCATTTCTTCGCTTGTTGCAGAGAGGATACAAACCTGAAGTTTTTATCACCAGGAATCTGAGAACTCGCAAGTAATGTACTTGGTGGGGATTATTCCACCTACGCCTCCTACACTGAGCAATATTCCATTTGCTCCTCGCTTGTGAGTATACCTCCTTTCTCTAATTCTAGTTTTATCTTGGACCATACAGAGAGCACTATATTGTGTTTTTATCTTCCCTCTTATGCACTGCGGATACTGTTTTGCTGTTTTGCTGCTATTTGGTAAAGAAACATACCCTAAAGACACCTTTGTGAGTGCATCAAGACCATCATCATATCAGTAGACGAGGATTGTACCATACAGACGCATATATTTGGAGCTGAATATAAGCTCCAGAAAATTGTAAGTGCAATTTTTCCTTTATTTACTATCACCAGCAGTCATATATAATAAACTATATTTGTGTCCTCTCCCCCTTTTTTTGCCCTTAACTTGAGAAGACCACCATAGGGGCTGCTTCCTGACACTACCTTCCATAGCTACTGTATTGCTAGAAAAGAAGAGACTCAGATTCACGTTCTAGCAGCCAAAAATACAAGCACTGGTATATTCCACCCCCATTGAATCCTATTTACTCATTGAGGCTTCCACTAGAAACTCAGTGGCATTAAGTAAGCAATTTATGCCTTGTACTTCGTATATCCTGCTATGGCTTGTCTAGTCTACTTTGGAAGACCATAACATTTTTTTTTTCTATGAAATCAACTATTGCTTGTTCTAAAATCATGGTATTATATTAATGAGTTTTACAGAGAGAATGCAAATGCAATAAATCACCTCTCATTATTGTACAAAAGGGAAGAGATGTATAGGGAAACTGGAGTCATGCATAAGTAGGCGTTAATTTGTAATTAAGTAAGCTAACTGCAAAAAGCTGAGAACTGACTGAATAATGTACCGATCTAGAGTCCCAGCAATAGCCTGTAAAATCTAGAACCTCTAGGGCATCTGCTGAAATGTCCCAACTATGCAGAGACAAACGTAGTATCAGTTTAACAGCAAGGTAAGGTTTGAAAGGAAACGTCCAGGTTCCAGTGTTAGAGCCATATACAGATTATTTTATTATCATATTGCTCAATTTCACATGTATAGGTATTTCAGAGAACTGAGTTACAAGGGCGAGGATAAAAGGCTAAGTAGGGAAAAAGTATTGTCGAAAGAGTGTGCACCCAATCCAAGTAGCAAAGGAATGTAGGGTGAATGAACAGAGTTAAGTCAAATTTCAAAATATATGCCAAAGTAGCCAAGATTAGAATATAGATGCATCTGAGAGATGCGCAACATTCTCGCACAGTGTTCTGAATGAGAAGCTAGTGATAGGCTGAGAGCCTTAGCTGATAGTCTTGACCTGTCACCAGTGCCCAGTCTGAGGCTTCTTCATTGAAACCTAGAAATTTGCCGGAAGAAGACGGGATGAGTTGAAGGGTATCATCTTAACAACTTGGGCAGTTAAGGCACCAATTGGGATGAAACTGTTATTGTGCCCAGAGTGTTCCTTTAATTCTGCAATCAAATTTTAAATTCAACATTATTCACTGGTTGGTAAATAATCACTTTTGTGCTTAGAGGATATAACGTCCTCTAACCACAATACATTCTATATATTAAATGGAGTGCAGCTTAGGACTAGGGGCTTTGGCAAATTCTTGCCTTCTATCAATCTGTGAGTGACTTATCAGACCAGAAGCATGGATGTCTCCTATCCCTTTAATTTCCCAATGTTTGACAGGGGGTCCAGGGTATCCACTAGAGAACCATTATCATCTCCCCATTTCGCTTAGTGACCATTTTGTCAATTTTTGCATTGCATTGTATTAAGCAGACGAACCCTATTTTGTTGGTCATTATGACATTTCATATCTCTGCATTGAGATTCCATTGATGATAACAGGTGCAAACATGTCAATCTTTTTCTTCTACCATGACATTTTTGCACCCATGATCTCCTTATTGAAGTTAAAAGATTTTCATTTCGCGGAGAAAACCGGGGAATCTGTTGAGAGGACTGATTCAAAATTAGATTTTACAAATAAAAACATTTTAGACACAACAGAGTAATCCCTAAGTCCTGGATTGGTAGGGGGTACTTGAGGACTGGGTTGGGAACCCCTGATATAGGGGAAGTGAGCAAAGGTATGGAAACAAGGCACCATCTCATCATAAAGTGTCTTCCTCCGAAAGGTAGTCAGGTGCAAAGAGTTTTCTTCCCAGGCCACTAGTAAAGAAAGTTTTGTGGCCAGTGTCTCGCTGCACAATACTAAATATATTATATAACTATATTCTTGTATTATTATTATTGTAGTCCACTTATTACTGTATTGCTATAAAATATTTCATTTAAAATAAAGAAAGGAAGTAGAATGTGATGCAAATACGACTTTTGTGACCTCAGGTTGGGCTAGTTGTTTGTAGTTGCCCCTCCTTGCGGCAAAGCCATCTGTTGCCTTCCACCCTTGTGCTCTTTGCATTACAGTGTATGATACCATCAGCATGCGTTAGCCTCTTACCGTTAATGTTAGAGACATCATGGAGAAATGTTCGGCATGTCAGCTTCACCATTTGTACATCTTTATAAGCACCCAAGACTATTTCACATATTGATTTTTGCTGTGGGAATTCCGTTATCCTGTCATCCCAAAGCTGAAAGAAAAACACTGTAGAATAGATTAGAACTTCAACCATTAGCATGAAAATAACGCAACAAGACATATGATTGTATTATTGCGTGTTATATTATAATTCTCTGCGCATTTTTGTGAAGTACACTCTGGAGTGAAATAAACAAAAGTATACAAACATACAACATGCAAATGAGGCCTTCAGTGCCAATTTTGTAGAAAATCCCCTTAGTAAGTAGAACATAATACGTTGGAGAAGAGATAAAAATCACATAGATAAACATGTACGTCTAACTGATTCACGAACGCTGTCCTTACCCAAACATCTACCTTCATACATAATTAAATGCTTTTATAGAGACACAAACAACAAGCAAAATAATGCAATGAAATGCAAACACGTGTTATGAGTTAAAGCAGCCAAATATCAAACTGAATAAACTAACATACAAACATGTACAGCAGGCAAATAAACAGGCAGGTAGATGCAGACAGACATACAGAGACAGAAACAAACAAACAGAAAGACACAGCTGTCATTAAAATCACACTCAATTGACAGAAAATCCACAAATAAAAATAAATTAATGACAGACTCTAAACAATAAAACAATAAAAATTTAGAAACATACAGGTTTTTTTACTTTTAGACAGACAGATAGATAGATACTGCCCTTCTATAGTCTATCTAATCAGATAAATGGATACATTTTGTGATAAAGTATAACTAAACTATTGCCTCATTGTTCAGTAATAAGCATTTGTTTTTAAACTCAGAGCCAATTCATTGATTGAATAATCAGATTCCACAGGTATGTATCATCCTCCCTGTTGCATGGTTTCCATAGCAGATTGTGTTATGAGGTTCTTCATCTCATGCCACCAACGTCTGAAATAAATGAACAAACGGGCATCGGCACAATGTAACTCGATCTTAATCTTCAATGGGTTTAGGTTATTAAATGAACAATGAGCATAATGGTTAGGTGTAACCGTCTTTTCGAAAGAGGATCCTTCCACTGAGAGGATGAAGATTGACCTGAACAGGTGGCTCTTTACAAATCTAATTGATTGGCACAAACAAAATAAGGCTGGCCACTTTAACTGGTCTTTTTAAGTGAGGAAACGTTTCAGATTTTTATGGCTTGTAGAACCAATGTGGTTTAGTAGTGAAGTAAAACAAGAGATTAAAAATAAGAAAAGGGCATTTAAAGCATTTAAATCGGACAAATCAGATGCTTCTTATAAAAGATATAAGGAAGCAAATAATGCGTGCAAAAAGGCAATTAGACTTGCTAAACTTCAAAATGAAAAAATGATAGCTAAAGAGAGCAAAACCAACCCCAAAGCATTTTTTAAGTACATAAATTCTAAAAAAAACAAAAATGAAAGTGTAGGTACACTAAAAACTGAAACGGGGTGTTAGTTAATGAAGACCAGGAAAAGGCAGGGATTTTAAATAACTATTTCTCCTCCATATATATTAAAGGACCACTCTAGGCACCCAGACCACTTAAGCTTAATGAAGTGGTCTGGGTGCCTGGTCCAGCTAGGGTTAACCCACTTTTTTATAAACATAGCAGTTTCAGAGAAACTGCTATGTTTATAAATGGCTATTGACAGCCGCTTTTGCAGCCTCTAGCGGCTGTCTCATCCAGGGCTAGAGGCGCATGAGGGGGCTGAATGGACGCGCAGCTCTGCCGTGCATGCGCATTCAGCCGAAGAGGAGGAGAAGAGGAGGAGGAGGAGAGCTCCCCGTCCGGTGCTGGGAGAAAGGTAAGATTTTAACCCCTTCCTCTCCCCAGAGCCCGGCGGGAGGGGGTCCCTGAGGGTGGGGGCACCCTCAGGGCACTATAGTGCCAGGAAAACGAGTATGTTTTCCTGGCACTATAGTGGTCCTTTAAGGAAGAACCCATGGCAATAGATGTGAAAATGATTGCTACTAAAAATTTGCTGAATAATTGTAATTGGTTAACTCAAGACAAGGTGCTACAGCAACTAAAGAAAGTTAATATAAACAAAGTTCCAGGGCCTGACGGTATCCATCCACGTGTACTTAAGGAACTAAGTGTAGAAATAAGTGAACCTCTGTTTTTAATCTTTCAAGATTCTTTTCTTTCAGGAAGTGTTCCGGAGGATTGGAGGAAGGCAGATGTGGTTCCTATATTCAAAAACGGTTCAAAATACTTGCCTGGAAATTATAGACCTGTGAGCTTAACTTCTGTGGCTGGTAAAATATTTGAAAGGTTATTAAGGGATAATATTCAAGAATTCCTTGAAAAGAACAAGGTTATCAGCAAAAATCAGCACGGTTTTATGAAGCACAGGTCATGTCAAACTAACTTGATTGCGTTCTACGAAGAAGTAAGTAGAAATATAGATCAGGGTGTTGCTGTGGATGTGATCTATTTGGATTTTGCCAAAGCATTTGATACAGTTCCACACAATAGATTAGTGTTCAAACTCAAGGAAATCGGTCTAGATGAAAATGCTTGTTCTTGGGTAGAACATTGGCTTAAAAACAGAGTACAAAGAGTTGTCATTAATGGTAAATTTTCAAGCTGGACAGAGGTGGCAAGTGGTGTCCCTCAGGGGTCTGTTCTGGGACCCCTTCTATTTAACATGTTTATAAATGATCTTGAAGACCGCATTGAAAGTCATGTTTCAGTGTTTGCAGATGACACAAACTTTGTAAAACAATACAATGTGAGCAAGATATTACTTTGCTGCAGATGGATTTAGATAGACTGGGGGACTGGGCACTCAAATGGCAGATTAAATTTAATGTTGAAAAATGCAAAGTTATGCACTTCGGCGTACAGAATACACAAGCAACGTATACCCTTAATGGAAGCGAATTAGGGATAACAACACATGAAAAGGACTTGGGAATTATTATATACAACAAACTATGAAACAATGTGCAATGTCAATCATCAGTGGCCAAGGCCAGTAAGGTATTGTCATGCATTAAAAAGGGCATTCATTCTCGGGACGAGAATATCATTTTGCCTCTTTATAAATCACTGGTAAGACCACATATTGAATATGCTGTGCAATTTTGGGCACCTGTTCTAAAGAAGGATATTATGGCACTAGAAAAAGTGCAGAGCCGGGCTACAAAATTAATAAAAGGAATGGAACATCTATGAAGAAAGGTTAACAAATTTAAACCTATTTAGTTTAGAAAAACGTTTGAGAGGGGATATGATAACATTATACAAATATATTCGGGGCCAATACAAATCATTGTGTGGAAATCTATTCACAAACCGGACTTTACATAGGACACGAGACTGGAAGAAAGAAAATTTAAAAGGAAAGGTTTTTTTCACTGTAAGAACAATTAGGATGTGGAATTCTCTGCCTGAAGAAGTGGTTTTATCAGAGTCCATACAGATGTTCAAACAGCTACTAGATGCATACTTGCAAAAACTGAATATTCAAGGATATGATCTTTCAATGTAGGGCAATAACTGCTTGATCCAAGGATAAATCTGACTGCCATTCTGGGGTCAAGAAGGAATTTTTTTCCTAGCTTGTTGCAAAATTGTGCTTCAAACTGTTTTTTTTTGCCTTCTTTTGGATCAACAGCAAAAAACAAATGTGAGGAAGGCTGAACTTGATGGACGCAAGTCTCTTTTCAGCTATGTAACTATGTAACTATGTAACACGTAGAGAAGAAGGCAAATCTTTTGATGTGTGAGATAGGTGGTTATGGTTGATTCAGTAAATCAATTATTTTATTTCAAGTGACAGAGGATTCCTGAAGCTACATTACAATACAAAACAAAAAAACAATATCTAACACTAAGTATTTAGTGAAATGTAACACTTGCAATTCCAATTATTCTCATCTAAGTGGAGCACGGAAGAGGTGCAGCCTAAACAGCTTTCGTTAAAAAAAAAACAAAAGAAAAAAATACCCTTCTGCTTTACATGACTTTTACCCATGGTATGAAATTACAGGAACAGTACACGCACCAGAACCCCTACAGCAGACTGCAGTAATTATAGTGCCCCCCTGACCTTCCCCCACAGTATAGAGAGTCAACCCATTTAGCAACAGTATAACAGTATAACAGTATATAGGGCTCTGCACCTACTCTCTTGTGAAAACTCTCTACATTAAGATAAGCCCAGAGAGGTGGTGGGACGCGCCATCCAAAAGAACCCAGGTAAGCAGTAAAACAGGACCAGCGCTACTGTTAGGTGAATGAGACACGTGTCTGGGGCTGGAAAGCTGGGGCCCCGAGCGCAGCCATTTTCTCTGCTGGGCTCCCTCTCCCTCAATGTCATAACGCCAATTATCTAGGTTTACTGTAACCCCAGTGCCTGCTTCCTGCAGGCAGCGGAAGTCAGGACGTGACCTGGTATCCTGGCTGCCTACTGCCTGTGAATATCGGAAACCCTTCAAAGATAGCAGGAAGCAGCCTGTGCTCACCATGCACGACTCTCCTGATTTAAAATAATTCTCTAACATAGCCACAGTCACAGGTCATATGTTTTTGCTTAAACTTTGCAATTCGGCTTTCAATTCACTGCAATTCTGAGTTCAGTGAATAAATCTCTAAGAGAATGTAGTGGCACTCACAAGGGGGAGGCAAAATGGATCTTTGCCTAGGTTGGCAGAATTCCTTGCACCGGCCCTGAGACAAAACTGTTTGACTCCTTACATTGGTTGGGGGGCAAGGCCCTCCTGGCACCATAAGTATATGGGATGTAGTGGTTATGGTGATTGGAGTGTTCCTTTATTGAGAACAAAAGACATAAGAATGTTTTAGATATAACCACACGTAAACTTCATTGGCACTAAAAAGATCATTGGATAATTTATTTGAAATCATTATCAACAGATGAATATTATTTTAATTGAATCAAGGAATAAAATGTTTAATGAGTTACTATCAATTACTAGTCAACTAGTGCTTATAATCGTGATGATCATAGTGATGCCTGCAGCCAATCAGAATTGATTTTTTTTTTACTAGCTCCCAGATTCAAACTTTTCACGGATGAGCAAAAGATTCTTGTGACTATCTGACAATACACAATGTCCACACAGCTGAGGTTTGCTAGAAATATTATATTATTTCTTTATCCCTGTTTCAAAGTACCCAGTTTTACTCACTAAAGTGAGAACTCTGAAGAGACTGAATTCAAAGTGAACTTCAAATTTAAGGCCAGAGTAGTTGAAATGAGAGAATAGCTGATTTAGAGATTTGTTTACAGTAGTTTGTTATTCACTAAATTGGGAATTGTCAGGAATTCAAAGTGATTTTCAATTTCAAGTCCAAAACAGCCAAACTGGAAAAATTATCAGTCAGCTATGCTTCCAGTTCGCCTACTTTGGTCTTACATTTAAAATTAATTTAGAATTTACTTTAAATTCCTGATAGTACTCACTTAAGTGAATAACACTATAGGAGATGGCAGAGATGATCATTTTGGGGTCCATACAGGTTCTACCGATAAACCGCTTGGTGGTAAACTCTGGATATCTCCACGCCATGTGCTCCCCTTGTGTTTCAATATATCATTTGTGGTTTAGTTTTTATTACAGTTTTAGTACTTATTGATAAAACCGCCAATTGCACAGCGCAGTTTACCACTATTGTAGATCAGTTTATTAAAGAGAGCTGCGGACATTAGAACACCAAACATATTCTCTTCAAAAATGCAAGAGTGAAATATGTTAAATTTTATGTAAATTGACAACTTGCTAAAACAGATTATTAAACTGCACCACTTAAGGGTGTGTTTAAACGTAAATATGATTAAACAAAATGTTGATGATAGATTCGCTTTAAGACCCGCAGGCTAAACCCTTTAGCCTAGTGCACAGCAACTACCCAAGGATGTCATTAAATTGCTGCATCAGTGCATTACATTGCCTAAAGCCTTTGACAGAGCTAGGCTACGGATTATAGATGTCTATAGCACAAAAGCGGCTTCTTTTTTTTTTTTCTTTTTTTTTTTTACACCGCAAGTGCAGACCCTGTACAAGGCTGTGTTTTATTAAAATCTTGTATTCCGAGATTTGCATACACATAAAATACTGCTCCATTTTGCAGGCCAGAGAACTGC